TGGCGGCCGCGACGGAGGCGGGGGCTCCTGGGGGGAGCATCTCTTGCGCGCCTTCTGCCCGTTACTGTCGGGGCATACGTAGCGGGAATGGGCCCTCCCTGAAACCTGAAAAGGAGCAGCAGTGGGGGGTAGGGGGGGAGTCTTCTTCTATAGCATTGCCTGAGATTGACGTTTCTGGCGGTGACGGAAATATCTGAAATGGTATGATAAGAACGTCAGCGGAGAGAAGACGAAGAAATCCTAAGACGGCAAGTTGTCCTTGTCAGGCTTAGCACCACGGCTCTGTGCAGGTGTACAAACATCCCAGACACCCTCCTGGGGGTGTTTCACAGGCGCTGACGCTTTCTCAGCGTGTCCTGAAGAAGGCACACGTTGTCTCTGAATTGACAAGAAACTGAAAAGAGACTCTGGAGTGCTGTCTCTAAGCGTGTGGTCAACCTCTGTAACATTACATACTCTGGTACTCTGGGTAGTCAGTTAATCTCAAAAGTCATTACTTCTCAAAAGCAGAGGTAGTGTCTGTCTGTCCTAGGGAAAAGGCTTTCCTTTTCTGCAAGGTAAAGATGCAGAACTTTGTGGATTTTCACTATAAGGTTTGGGATGGCTTAAGAAAACCTTTCTGATTACCATTCCTGGGTAAGGCTTTATTATTTCTCAATAAAATAAACTAATTAGTATTCTCTGCCATTACGAATTCAGAGGTGAGGATTGTTCATGACTTGGGGGTTAATTTTTTTTCTATCTATGCCCCATATGGATGTGAACAAGGGGAATGAAGTCTCGCTACAGCTGAGAGGGATTTTTTTTTCCCTGTATAAAAGATAGAAAACTTATTACAAAGTTTTAAGTCTGTTGTTGATTTGTAATAAGATAAGCAGTATTTCTGCAGATGGAGATAATATAAAATTATGTATTCTGTGTCATACTTAAGTTGAATAATACTTTAATCTTCTCTTGGAGTAAAGTCAACAAAAATACGAATACTTCCATGTGCTTATTTTTATTGTATTAATTGTGGGGGTATTAAAAATGTGTGGTAAAAATATTAAAGTAGAATAAGTAAATCCCAAGTATGCCAGATTGTTTAATGTGTTTCTTGTTCTGGAAGCCTAGCAAGCAAGCGCCTCTCTAATGCATGCTTCTCTGTTAGTTACAGTCCTTTCTTATGAATATAAGTACACTAGACAGAGCTGAAGTCTTTTCACAATGTAGTAATGCGCCTTTTCTATTTTTTTTAATTTTTCAGAACTATCATGACATCATGTCTTGCCACCCAGAAAACTTTCAGTGGGAGCACTGGAGTTTTGAAAATGTTGCTACCATACTTGCTCGCCGGTTCCCTAATAGCTTTATTTGGGTTGTAAAGTGTTCTCGAATGCACCTGCACAAATTCAGTTGCTATGACAACTTTGTGGCAAGCAACATGTTTGGAGCACCAGAGCACAGCACTGACTTTGGAGCTTTCAAGCATCTCCATGCATTGCTAGTTAATGCATTCAGATTCTCTCAGAATATTCTGCTGTCCCAGAAAAGTGTGCATGGTGTCAGCAAGGATGCAAAAATAGCTGCTTGTAAATCACAGCCACAGTCTGTTCCTACAACAAATGGCTGCTCATCCACAGAAAGAGAGAGAGATTGTGAATGCTCTAATAATTCTGCTATGAACTTCATTATACCGTCTGCTGTAGGTGCAGTGTCGTTTACTTTGATTGGCTTCAGTAAAGGTTGTGTGGTTTTGAACCAGCTGCTTTATGAGCTGAAGGAAGCTAAAAAAGACAAGAATACAGATGCCTTCTTAAAAAACATAAAAGCAATTTACTGGTTGGATGGTGGTCACTCAGGAGGAAGCAATACTTGGGTTACTTACCCTGAAGTGCTGAAAGAACTTGCAGAGACAGGAATTGAAGTTCATGCTCATGTTACACCATACCAAGTGTTTGACACTATGAGGTCATGGATTGGGAGAGAGCATGAGAAATTTGTACAGATACTTGAAGAATTTGGTGTGGAAATAAATGATCAACTACATTTTGCTGATGACGTTCCCTCCTTAGATAACCATTTCAGAGTTCATGAAGTATTTTGAGACTGTATGTATCTGAATAGTATATTCATTACAAAAAATACTTCTAACACTGTAAATGTTGTCATCTAGATTTGAGACTTTGAGCAGATGCTTTCTGAAGAGAATACTAAATCAGTCCTGTGTTACTCATAGATACTATATATAAATTTCAGTAGCTTAAAAAGGAAGATTGGGACCCCATAACTACAACAGATGTTGTCGTTTGATTCCTGGAAAAAAGTGTTATGAAGAACTATCCTATACATGGTTTTTTGTTAAATGTGAACGTTTATTCTCAAATTGTGGCAAAATTTTTAGTCCTGGATGTCTAATGTCATATATTGCTGTTAATGGGACTTTAAAGTACTTGAGAGTTTCAGATGTCTGAATACTTCAATTTAGTAGCTTCCAGGGCTAAAAGCTTTGCTCTTTGTCAATAACAGATGTAAGGTTAGTTTTTTGGCTTAAGGAAAATGATGATTATTAGAACAATCTTAGTTATATATTTTGGTGAAAACTGTTTTAGTTAGTTAATTACATCTTCCAGTTTTATAACATTTTTCCTAATTGAAACAAAGTCACAAATACTTACCTTTGGAATAATAGTGCCAATCCATTTTTCTTCCTTACCTCTGCCTTGCCTTTTCTGTAGCTATAAAGTTTCATTAATTCATTGTGTAGTATCTGCTAGTGAATAGCATTTCGCCTGGCAGCTTGAAAATTTTGACATGGCTATGTTAAGTGACCAAGAGTGTTGGTGAGGGTGTAGCTTATTGCCATTTCAACATACCTTGCTATTGCTTTAACTAACTTCTATAAGGACCAGTATTTTCAAGTCAAGAGGTGTCTTTATCCCTGCCTTGGACTGGTGAGGTTTTTCTTCCTAATTGCTGCATCGATGTTGATCTAAATCAAGCCATAAGTACATAACGTATTACAAGTTGCATAAAAAATTTTAGACTATGTTGACTGTAGCTGTTTCAAAATGCTTCAGTTTTAAAAACTATTATCTCCTTTAAATGTATTGCAGTAGCTGCTTCTAAAGCCACCCAAAAATCTATCTTCAGAGTCTAATTTTTCCTACAGGACACCCCCCCCCGCCCCCCCAAATCAAATACAAAGCCGGACAAATCGGATACAAAAGATGTAATCTAGTTCAGGCTCTAAACCTGAATGTTTTTCAGAAAGAATTACTGAAAGATGGACAAATGAGGGTATTAGTGGAACTTTTCTACTGTTGTAAGTAACTTTCCATTTATCTACAAATAAATCTTAGAATTATTCTTAAAGACAACTGCAGCTATTAACAGTGAACCAGTAGCTTAAAATGGTCTTGGATTTCCTGGAAGTATAGGAATACAAAAGCAAGTTAGCAAAACACTGTGAAGATTACAGAAACAAATGTGGCTCAGTTCTGAAAAAAGGCATTTTATTCAACTTTGTTCCTATGTTTGATGGTTTAGCAACATCTTCCCCCTGCTTCTTGCTTCCCGTAACTCTTACACAGTGGAAGGAAAGTCCTGGGTCATCTTTCCTCTATTGGCATCATTAAAACTTACAAGGTTCACTGGAGACAGCATTTTCACAAATCTTGCAGAGTTGGTGCACATAATAGTGATCACTGAAGAATAAGAAAAGTGTGTTGAAGTCTTAAAATTTTTTTAATACTTAAAATATTAAGAGTAGTAGAAAGGATTATGCATACAGTATGTACCTTACAATGTGAAAGTGAACTCTATTGCTTATAATAGACTGATGTACCTAGTTGACCAAAAGGGGAAATAATCTATTTTAATTGATGGAGAAAAGTGCAACATGCAAACCAACTCTAATATTTTATAAAAGAATCTGAAATCTAGTTCCATCTGCTTTTTTCTGAAGCTCTTTCTTGGAGACTTTGTTCAATGCTATTTATTGATTACCTTCTTAATGGGCTTATAACAACTTGTTTATGTGTTCCAAGGAAGGCTATTTCCCTTTTTTGGACCTTTTGATAACACTTGCAGCATATGTGAGGACTTTTTTCTGTAAAGGAAATATGGGTCATCTAACAAAGTGGTTTTAATAGAAAGCCTACAAATTGCTTGAAATATCTTTAATTATCCAGTTATAAAATAAAATTAAAAACAAAACCAAAACCAACAAAAAACCCAAACCACACCACTGATCTTGCTCCCTCTCTGTGTCAGACTGACAAGGCTAAGTTGGGTATGCTAAAACTTGCCCTATCTGGTAACAGTGCAGATCACAGACCAATTTCTAAGCAATTCTGTGCCAGCCAAAACAGCAGGAGTAGGTTGTTGCAAGCTTTTGGAAACAGCTATTAAAATATTGACGTTGTCTTCAGAAGTTTCTGGATGGCTGTCCTATGAAAATAATATTAACCTGTTTGATGGAGGCTGCTTACAGTAACTGTTAAAATAGGCTCAAGTGTTGTTATATTAATTTGAAGAATAAGCACTTTGTTGTAAAACTAATCTTGTTGTGAGACCTCATGTTGTGGAGGGAAAACTGACTGGTTGTTTTTCATTCTCTAAATAGTTGTAGTACTCTGTTGGAATGTGCCTGTCATTCACTACAATGCATGCTAAAAATAAATTTTGCAAACAATGTAGAAAATAAACTATTTCTAATGGGTGAAACCACTTCCATGAGAATGTAAAACCATTAAACAAGGAATGTGCGGTTAAGTTTTGTGGATTAAGCTTTATCAGGTGTTTGTGGAGACCTCGTTTAAAAAAATGAGATTTCTTTGATACCTTTTCTTGAAGGAGGCTTTGTATTTGTGTAGTCAGCATCTGTAATTCTAAAACAGCTTACTGGCATCTTGCATACATGGGAAAGCTGGCATGAAGTACCCAAGGGTCTAAACATTTCTATGTTAGGATGAAGTGGTCATAATTTGTATATGCCTGTTTGACATTAACTGCAAAGGCAGTTTTTAATAAGCTTAGATGTAAATGCCTGAAGTTAAGCGATTCTCGCACTTACAGTGGTTTATTTCAAGACACTTCTGTTTTTGAATGGAGTAAGCAACATAACACAGTCCTCAGTACAACCTAGTGTGTAATAGCTGGTATTCTTTATATTGCATGCTTGTTCCTTGTACAACAGACAAGACATTCTTCAGATTTTGAGAAATGCTAAAATGTTTTAAGCTGTGCCTGTTAAATTCCTTTAAAACAAAGCTTGATTCTGTGAAATTGTCCAGATTCTGTATGACTTAAATGATTTTGTGTGCATCTTAAATACTAGAAACTTTGGTAACCTTCTTCCTATCTAGTATTAATTTAATTGCACCTCTGTAAATGCTGCTGCATAAATCAGTATTGGCCCCTAATTTTGAAAGGTGATTAAGGGTCTAAGTTTTAACATGTTGCTGAAAGGAGCAATCTTTTCTGTCCTCCCATTGATAACATCCTGCTGCATCCCTTAAGTTAGCATAAGCACTTCATGGTGAGCTGTTCTCTTACTAAATTAGCATTATTCCTGATAGAGATAACAGGAGTGCCATGTAATTAAATAGTCATAGAAATTATTTTAAATAAGACTGCTAAGTCAGTTCAGGAGTTAGGATGTTACAGTTGTGGGCATTCACAGATAAAAGTGATTGTGCATGATCATGTGCTCAAGTTTTCCCAACAGGTTCTTTTTGAGCTATTTGCAGAAAGAAAATATCACCTGTTTTTTCTTCCCTCTTATGGTGCTTCTTACAATACTGTCTTTCCTAAGCTGATAGTTACTTCATCTCTGCAAATAAACAATATTTGTTGTCTCGTACAGGCTGGAAGTTGAAGCACTGAGGTTAAAGTATACCCATCCATTTACCTTGAATGCTTATTTTAAATTACATGGGGTCTTATCAGTTAATATGAGAAGTTAAAGAACGGTAAAAATTTTTGAATGACTGTGCTCTGTTGTGAGCCATGTTTTTAGGTACATCACTGCCTAGCAGAATCCCCAGACATGAATTGTGCGTCTGGTGTCCCTGTGCAATACAAAAGCAAAGGCAGATGTCTCAGACTGCAATCCACAAGAGACAGCCTTTTCAAATCACCTTTGGAGTTACTTCTTCACAATCTTTTTAATCTTATATTGAAATCTCATTTCATTTGTGTAAGGATGATAGATTAAAGGAAAAGAAGTTTACTTCTGATGCTCATAGCCTGATGAAAATTTAGGCACATTTAACTATTGCTGATGGAGACCCTAACACCATAGCTGGCTTTCTGTTGGTCTTACTGGTCTCTTAACTCTGTTCAGATGGAAGGTGACTGTTTTTAACTCGAATAAAATAACATGAAGTCATTAATGCAAGATCATATAACACCTATGTGGCAGAGAGGCACTGCTTCTCCCAGTGCCAGGCATACTGTTCCTGACTAAATTCATTCTATCAATATTAACAGCATAATTCACTCCTCCTGACAAAAAACACTTGCACAGGATTAGCTGCTCCACATCACTGTGGAAACCATGGAAAACTGATTCAGGCAGTCATTTTGCATGTAGTGTAGGGTGGGTTATAAAGTAGTGATGGCTTTGTTGTGGTTTCCTGTCATTAGGGCTTCATTACATGTTTCCACATGACCCAAGAAGTGCCGAATTCTACTTAAGCAAATTACCAGAAAAGCGTCTGGTAGAACAAAAGGTAAAAATAAATTCTTATCTGTTTTTTCATCATGTGTATAAACATCTCGTGTACTTGAAAAGGAGCAGAATGCCATTACTTCAAGGTTCAGAATAAATTTTCCTTCTTTCAGTAAGCTTTCAGAGAGCACTTTCAGTCACAATTGTTAGTTTCCTTTGTTAAACTTGGCACTTTAGAGCTGAATCGTTTCTAAAGAAAGCACTGCTGCAAGACAGGGAAAACAGTCAAGAGACATACCAGTGCTGAAGTGCAAAACAACGCTCTTCACATCTCCCGCACCAGAGTTTACCCTCTGAGCAGTACTCCTAAGCCTGGGTGTCAGATAAAGCTATTGCATCCGTTACAAGCCATCTGTATAGCTCTTCTTTCCCATTCCCCATCATGAGAAATACATTGATTTTGTGTGATGGAAGTTTTAGGCATTTCATGTACTGCTTGACAGCTGAAGTATAAACGTTTTCACAGCAAAAATTGTCCATTACTGCGATCTGTGTTAATATTGCAAGCAATAGCTTCTGAGCATTTTTGTACGGACATAGCATCGCGTGCAGAGCTGCGCATTTTACATGGTTGAGCAGTTCTTTTAATGTTCAATCTGCTCTTAAAAATGTTGACTAGGAACAACAGATAGCGATTGGAAAGGAAGTAATCTGCTCTTGTTGCTCTCAGGAATCGCCACATACAGAGCTCAGAATCTATCTCCACTTCTAGAGTCTGACCCAAACCAAAATAGGAAATCTTAACATGCAACTTTACCACAAACTTAGATAACTGTCAAAAAAAAAATTTTAAATTTAATCTGTCCTTCTAGTAACACCAGAATCTTTGGTTATTGAATGATGCTAACTTATAGAGAATCCTTTGTAAAAGTTACTATCTCAGAACATGTATCTTCAACACCTGTGTTGTCTGCATAGAAATATGTGTCTCAGGTTTGGGAAGATAACATTTTGGCCAGAGGAAAAAAGAATCAAGTCTGTACAGGAATTTTTTTGAAGCTGTGAAGTAACGCATATTGGGATCACACCATGTGTAACGTAACCTCTACTATGGTAAAATCATCCTCATCTTAGTCAAGTTAGTAGTCCTGTTGTGGGACTAACAGCGTGAATGAGGCAAATAGTTTCATCCTACATATTTAAAAAGGATTGCAAATATATTTCTGATCCTTCATGATCAAGTCAAACCCTTTCACATTAGGCATTTAACTTGACACTTGTATTAAGAACCTAGACTCTATGTAGTTCCTGGAGAGAAACATTTTCTTAAGTTAGGTATATCAGATCTTCAGCACATACATGATAGGCAGATTTTTAATGACCTGTTTAATACTTTGATGAGAGAATATTTTGACATAATTTTTTCACTTGATTCTTTCCACAGCAACCACTTTAAGAAAAACGTATAAAACATTTATCTTCTGAAATTATTTGTTGTCCTTTATATTTCATATGACCAAGAATAAATCTTTCCAGGTGTTGATTTGCAATGAACTTATAATTTTTTTGCAATGAATTTTAAAAGCCTCAGTCACCAACTTTTTAGAGTAATTCAGATTTTGGGGTGTGCCAAGTTTAAACTGCTGATTTCAGATACTGTCTGTTTAAGTATCTTAACTCATCTTTCAGTCCTGGGCAGTCTGCATCGCCTAACTCCTCTGTTGAATACACTGTTTGAAGTGGCTGTTTTGAATGCTTAAGATGGTCTTTATTTTTCTAATACCTGTTACCACAACTTCATCTGGTTTACTATGGCATGATCCCATTTTGCTTTAGGTCTCTAAAGGACAAACTACCACAAAATGTCAGTGGCTCTAATTCTTTATTTCAGTAATGGATTTTTAAGTGTGGCTACGTGTATTCTATCACTGTTAGCTGGACGTTATTCCTCTTATGCTTTCACCATTCCTTCATGACTGTATTGCCTGTTTCACACCATGTAGCACAGTGGTTAGAAAGCACCAAGTAATTTGTTTTTTTTAAGACAGTAACTTCAAGATTTTTATCACTAGTCACATTACGCTCAAATTAAGAAAATACATTTATAAACTGCTTTGTTTCTTCTTTTATGGCATTTCAGAACAACTGTTTTATATTATTTAATTAGAAATTGAAGAAACTGGTTCAAAGTGAAAAAAGGGTGGCACTGACAGAACAATTATTGTGCTGCTTTTCCCACTGATCTACATAGAATAGTTTTTGTTGATCTTTCTTGAATATGCACTTATATCACATCTGGTTGAGTTTACTGACAGTCTTAGAGAAGTGAAAACCAAAGGGGTCATGGGGAGGGAACACCCCCACACACTATCATTGCAGAGATTTCTCACGGGACACTGGAAGAGAAGCATGAGCAGCGCTGGGTTATCCACCAGCTGATCAGGGTGAGATAACCTCATTTGCTGACATATGAAAATAAAGGTTTCATTTTAAAGTTGGTAGGGTGAAGAAGAAATAGCTGCACTTGCTATAGCACTTGGCTCACATTTAATTCAGCATGACTCTCTTTTCCCAGCCCGATACACGTTTTCCAATCCAAACTTCATGCTAGCCTAAGCAAGTGAATTATTGCAGCTTTCCTGCTGGGCTACCTCAGCACTAATAACTGCAAATGAGGGATGCAAGGGTTTGATTTGGCCTAAGGTGTTTAAATTAATAGTTTAATAGCCCACACACACCAAATAAAAAGGGGGATTGAAAAATATTCAAAATGGCATTCTTAATACTTGTTTATGCTTTTTACATACATACTATGAAACAAGTATTGAAAATCTTAGTATCACCGTTAGGTGGCACAGCAGTGAATGCATTTGACACACAGGATTTTCCTCCTTTTACTTTCTCGTCTCCCCAGGAGCCCCAAATGGCTCCCATCCTCCCTCCGGAGCACAGCAGGCACTTCTCACAAGCTGAGACATAAGCAGATCACTCATACACTGATTGCTGCTCCATGAAGTTTTCCTTATTTATACTTGACTGTTGAGGGGGCCTGAGAACACCAGGCTAGCACCTCTCTTTTGGGAATGGAGAATCAAGAAGTGGCAGAATGAGGGATCAGCACAGTACTTCTCTGTACCAGCATATTGAAAAACTGCCAGTGGTTAGAGTTAAAAGCGATAGCTGTGCAGGCACAATGCTGGAACACAGCTTTGTCTAACCCTGCAGGCTCTCTGAGCCTCTCCATTTAGTCCTAAAACACAAAGAATATGCTCTGTACACCTCTGCAATTTTAGATGGGGCCCTCGACATTACCAGTCCAACAAAGCCAAGAGGCTTCCCCAGCCTAACAGACACAGATTCTGTCTCAGCAGTATGCACAAGCAGTCCTTGTTCGTTCCCAAAGAGAAATTTTGGGAGACCTATTTGTGATCCCAAATTTAAATTCTACCCTCAGAACATACAATGATGCCCATCAGAATCGCTTGGCTGGTTCCATTCATGCCTATTCATTAAGATGGCCGGGTGCCCATTCACATGGTAGCAGACTATTTTCACCGTGTTGAATTGCCAAGAAGAACAGGTTTAGAAGAATAATCTGCTTTTCTGGAGAAAGTTTTTTCCAGCACTTTATTAACACTACATATCTATTTAGTCTAAGAGCTTTTGCCAAGTTGCAGTTCTCAAAAAACACCACTAGAAGTAACAGACTGACCTAAGTCAGGTAAATGCTGCATTCCCCAGACAGCACAAGTAATAACGTCAGAGGGATTTCAAAGGGACAATGATAACCTATCTTTTCTGTGAGATGACCATCTTTATTTCACAAGGCTTTTGTAAGCACTGTAATCAGCTGAAAAGTAACCATCTACAATGCCTGTACAACAGGCTCCATCCCAAAAGGTGCGATGCAACCCCCTTTCATATGGTAACATAATGCATCTCAAATACTGCTGCCAATAGTTTCCACATCTACTCCAGAACTATGAACTTCAGATTCTAGGACTGTAGCTGGATGGATTTGTGGGCACATTAGTTGCAAGTGTTTCACAGCTGCAGAAACAGCAATGCTGCCCAACTGCACTGGGACATTGACAGACAAGGTTTCCTGCACAATACATTATTCAGCTAGGGAAGGGGTAAATCACTTACTTTGCGGTCAAGCTGCTGCACAATTCTAAGCTTAACTTTGCGTGATTAGCCTTTGCTTTTTTCCCCATGCCTACTCTCAGTTTCACCACAAGGGGGAGCAGAAACTCCCCACTCTTATTACCAGGCTATTACTCAAAAAGATACCATGACCGTTAAAACCATCACCAATAGCTTTCCTGGACCTCCTCTGAAACCACTATGGCTTTCCTAAACTTTAATAAACGAGGTAGCATTCAGGAAGATGTGGAGTTACTTCTAAGTATATGTGCTGTCAGCCCAGCTCAGATACCAAAACTTTTGTTCAGAAAAATTTCAGTAGAACACTTCAAAAAAGTAGAGTTGTAAGTGCAGGCACCGCAAATGTATGCCTTGTTGTAGAAGAGAGACCATCACCAGATGAAGCAGACTGTGCACGCACTGCACATGAAGAAAAACAAGAAAAAAATCTGCAAGATAACCACTCATCTATAACAAAGTTTTTACCAACATAGTTTTTATTAGTCTTACAGAAAGTGCATGTATGTACACATGGACAGTTCACATATTAACATACCATTTTCTACTTTCACAGGAGCTTGCTGAATTACAGTGTGTTATTTTATCCATAATCATTCCTATAGGCTTTTTCTTGGATGCGTAACACCATTCTCCGAGCATAAAAATCCCTGTATTCCTCAGGTAGTTCTTCAAGTGTTTTCAAGGCCCTGTCCAAGATCTGTATAGCTCTAGAGGCTGCTGTGGGATCTTTATTTCCATAAGTGTCACTCTTATCATAGGACTCAGCAGGAAGGTGCTTCCAAAAGACATTCAGTGCCACTCCAAATTCCTCAGAAATTACATTGTGGAACCACAAAGCTGTAGAAAGAAGAACGTCTAAAATGAAAATTACTATCTGAAACTTCCATGTGACTCATAACAATTGTCAGAATCGCCCAGACTAAATCTAGTTGAGGAGAAGCCTCAATTACGGTATTTTTTGTTTATTTATAAATATTCATCTCTGAATATATTGCGTTGTACTAAATTTAAGAAGTTCTTCAAGACGTTTACATCAATCCATAACTTCACACAAAAGTAACAATTGCTGAAGTATAGAGAGACACTCAGATGTAAGCAAATGATAAGCATGTGTAGGATGAAAATAAGACATCTTCCCTGTTCACCTCACTCATCTGCTCTGAATGCAGTTGCTAATATTTTCTTAATGAAGTCATGAGGCTTTTCAGTTGAATCATCATGGCTGTGGTAAGGAACCAAAGACATTTTTGCCTCATTGAGTACATTTTAAAAATAAGTTTAATATGGTATATTTACCCTATTTCAATTTAAGCTAAAAGACTGAATGCCATGCTTATTGCAGCCTAGTTGCTTGTATGTGCTGAAGACATAGAAAAGCTCATTCTGAGAAATGAACAAAAAGTTTCTTTCAGGTTAGGAAGAGGGGCTGCTTCTACCTTCTCCATAATAATCACACACATTTCTCAAAGAACATCTTTTTTTCAGTGGTATGCATTCCAGAATGCTGACAAAGCTAGCACCATTCTCTGGACTCAAAAATCCCTATACTCCCCAGTCATTCTTAAGACTGCTGAGTGTGTCTTAAGTTTGGACTAGCACAGCTACTGGCAAAGACAATCTAATATCTGTATTGCATAGAATAAAAGAGAAATTATGTATGCTGACATTAGCAACAGTGTGACATACCTTTCACAAACTGTAACCAAAAGTTTCTTAACAAAGAAACACAAATGTTAAGTTGAAAATTAAGTAATGAGTCCAAGGTTAAGAATCTATTTTAAAACTTCTAAAAACCTACTGCCTTCTTCTTTACTGGCCTGTTTATATTGCTCAGATAATAGGAAAAGCAACAGAGTAAGTATCTGCGACAAGCTCATGATAAGTTAAAATAAAAAATTAGTAACAAGTAGGAGTAGTTCAATAGGAGTAATTCAAATGCCTTTCCCTGATCACCAGAATTTTGTCATCTCAGCCTAGGAAGCAGCTTTATATTTTCTGCTTGTGCAGAAAAATGGTTAGGACTTGTCTTTCCATTCCCCAAAAGTGATTATAAATTTCTAGACAGTCCAATAACTCTACCATCCATAAATCTCATCAAATCACATGCCTCAGTTCTCAAGTGCCAAAGCTACAGAAGAACAGAAATGGTACTTCACTCAAATTCTGTCATTAGAAAACTCAGGTCACTGAAGTAATTTCAGAGTTCACAAGTTGTTTTTTATAGTACTAATCTATTAAGACACAAATTCAGAAGCATACAGTGTAATCCTGAGGGAAGGCAAGATTTGTAGGTAGATGAAATAATACCTTTTATTAGGCTAATTAGTACAGTTTGAAGAAGTAAACAAGTTTTGCCAATGTCTTTAGATGCTCCTACTTATAACACAGAAATGCTTCAGTAACCTCTTACCATCCCTAGAAATGAGAAATTGCAAACAAAACTGTTTAAAAACACAACATGGTCGGGAACTATTTGTTACTTACCTGGAATAAATAACACATCTCCTGCTTCCAGAAAACACTGATAGCGCTTGGCTTTCACAAAAAGGGGATATTTCTCTAAATCTGGGTTATCCACATCCAGCACCTTTGACTTAGTACCTAGGAAAGTTTTCAGAAGTAATGAGTAAACGTTCCTACTCTTCCAACAGTAACAAAGCATTATCACATTGCTGGAAATGGCAGTTTTTGAATCAAATTACTGGTTTCTTTTTCTGTAACTCTTCTAAAAACCAGGGAAACCTGATGGCACTCCTCATTTACTGAAGAGACACGTTCCCCTGTTGTCTATATTTCTCCTGTAACTGCAACCTTATTAACACTAAAAGACACTTTCCCTGACATTTAAGACACCATTTTGAATCCAGACAGAACACTGTACTCCTCCACAGATAGGTGCTGAAAACAACCAGGCAAAGCTGCTGCGCTTCTTTGCAAATTTCCTAACCTGCCCCACTAAAATGATTAGCTTTGACTAATGCAAACAGGATCAGAGTTAAGGGACCAAATGACTTCTTTTACATCAAGCTGTCCGTTAGCGATTTGTTTTTCTACAGTGCAACACTTGTGAGCTGGAAAGGCAACTACGATCACCAAACTCTGAACTAGATACGTATGACATCCATACCTGATAAATATAAATATGGTGCATCTTGAGGACTATACAAAACAACTCGTTTTTTTCCTGTTACTTGGATTAAGAAATTATCCATTACCTGGAATAAGCATAGTAAGAGAGGTGTCAGCCAAGAGTTAAGAATGAATACATAGCTTGCAACTAATCTAAAGTATCATCAGCTTAAAAGAGGGAATTATTATAACCTTCACATGTTAAGAATTACCTAAAAGAGGTTCCACATATAATTAATATAAAAAACTCAAGAATGTGAGTTACTTTATCCCCTTAGGCATTCTTGACAGATAGTTGTGCTGGTTTTGGCTGGGATAGAGTTAGCTTTCTTCATAGTAGCTAGTATGGGGCTATGGTTTGGATTTGTGCTGAAAACAGCATTGACAATGCCGAGATGTTTTAGTTACTGCTGAGCAGTACTTACACAGAGCCAAGGCCTTTTCTGCTTCTCACACCACCCCAGCCTTGGGGGCGCACAAGAAGTTGGGAGAGAACCCAGCTGGGACAGCTGACCCCCACTGACCAAAGGGATATTCCAGACCATATGACATCATGCTCAGCATATAAAGCTGGGAGAAGAAGGAAGGGGGGGATGTTCAGAGTGATGGCGTTTGTCTTCCCAAGTAACCATTAAAATGTGATGGAGCCCTGTTTTCCTGTTCCTGGCTGAACACCTGCCTGCCGATGGGAAGTAGTGAATGAATTCCTTGCTTTGCTTTGCTTGCATGTGCGGTTTTTGCTTTACCTATTAAACTGTCTTTATCTCAACCTGCAAGTTTTCTCACTTTTACCCTTCTGATTCTCTCCCCCATCCCACTGTGAGGGAGGTGAGCGAGCGGCTGCGTGGTGCTTAGTTGCCAGCTGGGGTTGAACCACGACAGTAGTATATCTGGAAACACAATATTGCTTTCCAACAACTTTGTGGTTTTCCTTAAATAGGAATCAAGTTCTTCCATCTTAAAACACAAAGGCATACCATACTTTAGACATATAAACCAGCAAAATATAATACAAAATACATTTTCTTTCAGTGTTACCCCTACCTCATTTTGCTGACTTTCTATTGATAAAGGATTCTTTTTCCTAATTATAATGGAAAAAACTATTTTTCTTATAAATAAATTTATTCAGAATTACACAGCACAATGTTAGAAGAGAATCTTATTTGGAATCTACCACATTGCAGCAACAGAGCACCACAATCATTGTACAATTACCAACAATCTGGCCATTAGAATAAAAAAATGAAGGTAATCTTAAAGACAAAAATGTTGAAAGTTATTGTGTCTCAGATCTTTAACTGAAATGCAAGACAGTAAAAAAAAAAAAGGGAACAACATCAAACATCATTTAAGATTACAAGTATGGAATTAGACATAAAAACAGTAAGATATTATGCCCACACAATATATCTATTTAAAATTCACTGTACCACTGAATGTGATTCATTTCACTATTTCAAAATACATGAGGTTTGTCATTAACTGATCTTTGTCAGAGATCTGCACCTTAATATCTCAACTCCTTAACACCATCTGCAACATTTTCTGCTAAACACATGTATTACCTACATCATAATGTGTCCATAACTGTAATCCAGCTGAGCTGATGCGGAATACACTAGAGAAGAACTGTTCCTTCTCAAAATACTCTGGAATCTGAACATCTTCTGCCAAAACAGGAAACTGCTTTCTGATATCTGCAATATCCTGAAACAAAAAGGACATAACTCTCAGAGAACCATATACGCACATTAAAATAAGGGAGCACTTCACTATCATTTCCCATCATATGAAACACGCGGCTAGAACTTCAGCATTGGCGAATAGCTGGAAATAGCAATGCTTTTTGGTGGTCACCCTTTCAGCAGTGACTTGGTCAACAATATTAATGAGAACAGCCAGAGAGCTGCTTTGAACCACAGCTGCTAGAAATCACACTGAAGAAGCAAGACATCATCAGAAATCCTTTTATATTAGTTTACAACAAAAGCTAAAGAATGGGAGGTGAGGAATGTACTCTTTAGTGATCAGCTAAGCTCTCATATAAGAACAACTATTTTAGACACTTAGGTTTAAATATTCTGACCTAAATCCAGTCAGTTTCACAGGCCAAGTGACCATAAGCAAGTTGTGTGCCTGTACTACACAGCCAGCAGATGACAACAGGCTTTTAAAAAGATTCCTAAACTGCGACTTTACAATATTAGAACTGTAATCTCAAGTAACTCACCTTCCTAGCATCTTCACCCACTGATCGCAAATAGTACTTTTCATCCTGAAGAGAACACAAAAAGAGAATTGTTTTGTTTTTTTTAATAAGAATTACAAACACACTTAAACAAAAAGCCTGTATTTTCTCATTAATCTAATGCAGGGCTTCATTAAAATATGGTACAAATAAATGGCATTTACAAATTCAGCTACTTTGTTATGCTGCCTTTACTCTACTGCTCCCTGCTGTTCGTCCCAAGAAATGGGAAAAATACATTAACTGAGAGCAAGAAAAGTGGGGCGAGACTCATCAACTGCTTCAGCGTTGCTGTTACTGAACAGATTCAAAGCAAATACAGATTATAATTTAAGTTCTTCAGAACACTGGTGCAGGAAGCTATTTAAACTGGCTTTAAAACTTACAGCATCCTATGTAGTATAAAAGGTAAAAAGCATGTCTGCATTCAAAACTTTTTGCTTCCTAATCACAGTTATCTGAAAAATCCCTAGTTTGAACACTGATATGTAAAGATAGCCACACATTTGGTACTCACAAATTATGTGGCAATAAATCTGTATTCGTATTTTGATAGCAGATGTATTCATGACATTTTCTTGCAAAACACATAAATGATACAGTTATTATTCTAAAGCAAGGTTTGATTTCTAAATTTTGTGCTGGAATTTTTGCTCATGTAAGCAGGTTTTGTTAACAGAAAGAGGATGACTGAAGTTAACCACACTGTACACATACAAAACAACTTCCAAGAAAAATTACTTCTCCCCACATTTTTCCTTGGCTCCAAGCCACACAAAACAGTTAATTCTAAGATCGAGTGCTTTACTGGAGTAAGACTTTAAATTACAATTCGTCATTTTCCCCTCCATATACTGGCAAAATAACTGACAGAAGAAACTGTGACACTAAGGAAATTACCTCAGAAAGAAAGTACTCCTTGTGTTTGACTTCAGCTGCTCTTTGTACAAATACATCAAAAGGCAGAGTTCTGAAATATAAATATTTAAATCTATACAATGAATCAATGTAACAACACATGGTCTAAATGCCAGGTTTAAAATCATAAATTCCCTTAGCATATCTAGTATAACTGAAGATAAAAAAAAAAAAAAAAAGAGCAGCATATTGTATTTAACATGGTGACTAATCAGTGTTTGCAGTGGATGTTTGAAGAGTTCTACCAAGATAGAAATCCTACACTTACAAACCTCTCTGCTTTAGTAAGTTGTTCCAATGTATATCCAAACAGAATCATGTAATTGCTGAGGCTGGAAGGCACCTCTGGAGATCCTCCGATCCAATCCCCTTGCCAAGAGCAGGGTCAACTACAGTAGATTGCCCAGGACAGTGTCCAGTTGCGTTTTGCTTATCTCCAAGGATGGAGACTCTATAACCTCTCTGGGTAACCTGTTCCATTGTTTGACCACCATCACTGTAAAAAAGGGGGGTTTTTTTAAATAGTTTAACAGAATTTCCTATATTTCAGCTTGTGCCCATTGCCTCTTGTCCTGTCACCGTGATCCACTGAGAAGAATCTGGTTCCATCTTCTTTACTCCTTCCACCAGCTATTTATACACTTTGATAAGATCCCCTCTTGAGCTTAAGAGGTCTGAATGCAGGTCACAGTGCAGGAAATTTCTTCACAGTCAAATTAGACTCAAACTGTGGCCAACACCTGACAATACTTGCTTAGACTATTTCTCTAACGGTGTGTCATTTTTAGGCTTGTTTACTGTACATTTTTATAAATTTGTAGAAAAGCTCAGCATCAAGAAAACTACTGCAGGTGATATACATATGTTTATATCTATGCATTTTCTGCTATGAATCTGTGCATGAACACAGATACCTATCTTCATTTGTAGATCTATAAAATTTATTTCAGTTATCTGATTTTTTTTTAAATATGTACTACCTCAGCTGAGCAAAACACAGGAATCTTGGTATTTTCAAGTGTTTTTTTACAGTTTTCCTTGAATTTATTAAACACAACTTCAGAAGATTCAAAAAGAATCACTAGACATTACAGCCTGTCCCTCTGAAGTCAATAAAAGTGTTCAATATTTATTTAAACAATGGGAGCTTTTCATAAGGATTACAGATTTTGGCATCAGTTGATAGCTGAATGGCAAACCAAGCACAAGAAGAAATAGGACATGTATTCATTGTTACGAATATTATGTTATGAATTCAATGTTGTGTTCATTCAACTTACCATCTCATATTAAGTGTCACTGGGTAACGAATATATTGCATGTAGATATCAAATTTCAGAGCAACCACCAAGTACCCAGGGTTAAGAAGAAACTATACTCAAGCAAAATTTTTCGTGATCCTGTTATCCTTTCTACCGGAATGTGACCTGCATCTGACAGTACTTAGACCGCTTCTCTAAACATTTCAGGCTTGTTTGTAATAGTCAAATACTACAACCACTGAAGTCAATGGAAAAACAAACAAAAACCAACCCTCTGACTTCAGCTGAACTGTTGTATCATGCCCATTTACATTTGCTACTGAAGAAAGTGAGAGCAGAGCTCCACGACAGCTTAAACTGATGCATGCTGGTGCTGCCACAGCTTTGCTCTTGCTGTCTACCCTAATCATCCCATCTCCTTCCTTACGCTAGCACTGGCACTCATCTGACCTCATGGTGAACCTGCTTGCAAAGCTAAAACAGCAGAAAAACATTCAGATTTCTGCAGCACATCACAACATGGCTGGCTGAGTACCAGAACCAACACAAAGACAGGGGTAGGAGCACACAACTTGCAACAGGACTGCAGTACTACTCACGTGCATCAGTTTAAACTCATGGAACTGCATGTTAAGTCCTCAGTGTTTCTATTCGTTTAGTTCTACTTATTCTCCCTTCATATTAGAATCAGGGGCTTGCTGTGGAAACAGTCAAAGCTTCCTGAATTTCAAGTGAAGTAGGTGAAAGTCCTAACACCTGCTATAATGAAGCATCATCAGAGCACCTCCATATGGCTGTCTACAAACCAAGCAGGCCGGATCAACTGGATGCAAACTTAACAATGAGAGAAATTCTAATAAGAAATGAAATGGGGGGGAAATATGGAGATAAGGCAAAAATCATTCAAGTACAACATAATTTCAAAGATTCAGAAGTTCATTATGCCATGAGCAGAATACAGCATGATTATAAGGTGTTTTTTCTCCTGAACAAAAGGCTCCACTCATAGAGACTTGTAGCTTGTTTACATTTACAGTGTATGCTTCAGCCTTCTTACAAGTTTAACAGACCGAACACATCTTGTTCCCACTTAGGGAAAAAAACTAAAATAAAGGCATTTACCCTTGAAGAACAACACAATCACTGGGATTAGATGAACTCTGAAGAAATGTTCTGGCAGCTACATGAGAGGAACTTCAGGGGAGATCAAGAGTTTATGTGACCCACATCAAGATAAAAGAGCTGGTGAAACATGTGATATCCAGTAGTTCGAACATTCTGAGAACTGCACATGCTAACTTTGAAAGGAGCTTGGTTTTAATTAGTAACATCGCTCTAGAGTGGAATAGCATGCCTGCCACATGCCAGCATTCAAAGAGGTTCAGACACATGGTGAGTCAGAAACTAGCACTATTCAGTAACACTGAAAACACACCATATAATTAGAACAAAATAGCATATCATCTAGTATCAAGGAGTTTTCAGTTTGTTTTTTTTTATTAACACCAGCAAATGCCAGGCTCAGATTTCCTACAAGAGTGCTCTGTCAAAATATCTTCATAACAGTTCTTCATGCCATCACTTTTAAGGCCCTGTTTGGCCCCTCCTTTCACCCTTGTAGTATTTATTCAGGGTGTTGAGATATTGGTGGAATGAAAAGTAGAAGGGGAAATCAAGGACAGTACTTTGATACGTAATTTAAAGTTTTCACAAAGTATCTTCATATTCTCACCCTTAGCTTCAAACAGATGCACTGTATGTGTGACAGTTACGAGCACATGCTATTAAAATATAAGTGGCTTTGGAATGAAGTACCTATAGACAAAGTTCTTACTGAGGAAATCCATCTGTGGCACTGCAGAAACATGAATCTTTACTTCTTTAGATCCTTCAGCTTGGCTCAAGTAATCTACTGTCCATTTGGTTGTGCAAGTGCCCAGTTCCATTCCTTTCAGCACTACTGGCTTTCTCTAAACAACAACAACAACAAAAAAAAATCAATGCTGAAATGATCGTAGTATCCAGTGGACAAAAATCAGAATTAGTTTTTCAGACTAAGTAGACGCAAACAACTCAGCTGAATATCAGGGCCCACTATACAAAGTCACAACTGATCTCTTCACAAACGAACAACGTGAATCAGAATGCTGAATGTTGAAACAAAATGCAGTAAATCGTGGGACTGTTTCTCTATATACTATATTCTCTTTCCCAGCGGGGTAAGGAAGAATACGGAGAGGCAAAGACAATTGTAACGCTCACTTTGTGCTGGGGCCCTTGAGGAATCTAGCCAGACTAAGGAATAGCTTCAAGTCATCCCAGCCAGAGCTTGGCAGAAACAGAAAAAAGAGCACACGGTGAAGGCGTAGCCTGTGAGCTACGGTGGTGCTATACGCTCTGATGAAGGAAGCTCTTTCCGCCTGTATTAAGGCTCCTTGACGCTGACAACCACGAACAGGTTTGATCCAGTGCACGCACGAAAACCGGCAGAAAGACACTTCTGCTTTGAATCGGGACCTTGGAGAAAAAAAGGAAGCAGCGCTGCCAAAGCAACAAAACCAGCAATCACACTTTTTTTAACCGCTGTCAAAGAAAACGAACTCACAGGGAGGTCCGCCGTCACAGCTTTTCAGCGGCTCAGAGGGATTTGCCTGCAGAAGCTCCTGACCTCACCGGCAACCTCGTGGATCGCGACACCTCTCGGGAGCCACGTAACGCCAAAACCTGCGGCTTGTCCGCACCGGCTCTGCCAGGTGAGGAGGCGTCACGGGAAACCTCCGTCCTCCCTCGTCTCCCCGTCCGGTCCCGGCCCGCTCCAGCGAGGCCCCGCTCACGACACCCAGCCGGCGCGAAGCCG